ACCCTGTAACTCCATGGTACTCAAGTTTGAATGTGTGTCAGAATTACCAAAAAAAAACCCTCCATTTCCATCAAGTCAATTTCTACTAATACTGACCCTATAGGACAGAATAGAACAGCTCCACAGGGTTTCCAACTCTGTAAATCTTTACAGAAGCAAAATGCCACAACTTTCTCCCCAGAGTAGCTAGGGGGTTTGAACCTTTTGGATAGCAGTTGAGCATTTTAACCACTGCACCACCAGTATCTGTTCAGAATCAACCAGTAACACAGATCTCTAGAACCCACCCCCAAAGTTTCTGATTCAGCAGGTCTAGGAGAGGCAATAGTGGGCATTTCTCAGGAGTTCCCCAGGATATTGGTGGGGAAATGGTAGAATTCTAGCTTCCTTGAGACCAAGCAGTTTTGGGTTCATTGTTTATGGGGTCACTATTAGTCAAGGCCAACCTATGGCATTTAACAATGAGAACAAGGTGTTACAGAGATGCAGATATGCTGGTCCAGGAACCACACTTTGAGAACCACAGCACCCGCTGGATATGGGACTCTCAGGACAGAACTGAAAACTGACCTGAGGCCACCAGAGATCTAGGTCTGAACTCTGATCATTCAGTCAACTCCAGGAAATTTCCCACCCAATCTCCTAACTTTCATTAGCTGTGCCCATATCTTTCTCTTGCACTGAAATATGTGCACTTAACTCAGAGTCAAATATTATTTCTGCCCTCACTCCCCAGGCTCCCAAGAGCATCATTCACACCTTGTTAAAGAAAAAGGAATGCATTTCTTTTGTCCTTGTCCTTCTGAAGTGGACAAGCTATAACATGACTCCTCGGCAGACCATGTCTCTCTAGATTCCCAAATACCATCTTCTCTACTCCTAGACCCTGGTCTAGCCATTGTCTCCCATCTGGAGGGCCACAGCAGACTGTTCTCCCTTATTTGCACTCATTCTTCCTATTTCCTACATGGTAACCAAAGTGATCCTTTCAATGTGTAAAACCAAACCTGTCAGGGTCCCACTCTACTCAGAGCCCTAGAATAGTTCTCCATTTCCCCTCCAGTGACCCATAGGCCTTATAGAGATAGTCCCCAGGACAATTCTAACCATGTAGTTGAAGGTCTTCCTATTTTTCTCCAACTCTTCTCTTTACCAAGTGCTTGCTTCTCCAAGGACTGATCCCTCCTGATAATATGTCCAAAGTATGAGAAATGAAGTCTGGCCATCCTGGCTTCCAAGGAGCAATCTGGTTGCAACTCTTCCAAGACAGATTTGTTAGTTCTGGCAGTCCATGGTACCTTTAATATTCTTCTCCCCAACAGTATAACTCAAATGCATCAATCAGTTGGTCTATGGTCTTTCTTATTCATTGTCTAACTTTCACATGCATATGAGATTACTGAAAATACCATGACTTGTGTCAGGCACACCTTAATCCTCAAACTG